TGGCTCCTGTGATCACCCCCAAATCATGGTTAGGGAAGCTTAAGTGACTCACCCAAGGTCACACAGTCAGGGAGTTCTGAAACCAGGGGTGATACTGTGATTTATATTAAGAAATATATATTTTTGTCTTTGTCCTCCTTCCTGGCAATAAGCTCCGGAAACTTTGTAGATTCCTAAGTGATAAGACCACTAGGAGCATCTTTTGTTCTAGTAAGGGGGCTCTGACTGGGCGCCTGGAAGGCGTCTGCTCACCAGAAAGACCTAGCCATGATCAGAAGCTTGGAATTTTCAACACCACCCCCATCTGCTTCAGTTACCTGCTGGAACCTCCACCTTCCCCACTCTCCAGAGATGGAAGAAGGGGCTGGAAATGGAGTTAATAACTGGTCATGCCTATATGATGAAGGCTCCATAAAAATCCCAATTGTGTGGGTTCAGAGGGCTTCTGGCTCTTGGAGAAGGCAATGGCACCCCACTCCAGTACTCTTGCTTAGAAAATCCCACGGACAGAGGAGCCTGGTAGGCTGCAGTCCATGGGGTCGCTAAGAGTCAGACACAACTGAGTGACTTCACTTTCACTTTTCACTTTGATGCATTGGAGGAGGAAATGGCAACCCACTCCAGTGTTCTTGCCTGGAGAATCCCAGGAACTGGGGAGCCTGGTGGGCTGCCATCTATGGGGTCGCACAGAGTCGGACACAACTGAAGCGACTTAGCAGCAGCAGCAGAGAGCTTCCGGCTCAGTGAACAGGTGGAGGTATGGGGAGTGTGGTACATCCGGAGGGGGCGTGGAAGCTCTGAACCCCTCCCACATACCCTGTCCTATGCATCCCTTCTGTCTGGACGTTCATCTTTATCCTTTATCATGTCCTTTATGATAAACTGGTAAACAGTATGTAAACTATCTACAGGAGTTCCATGAATCATTTTAGCAAATTAATCAAAGCTGTGATAGGGTCACAGAAACCTCTGAGTTATGCCAATTGGTCAGAAGCACGGGTGACAAAATAAACTTGCAGCTGGCATCTGGAGTAGGGCACTGGGGGAGCTGTTCCATCGGACTGAGTCTTTAACCTGTGCGACTGGACACTGTCTCCAGGAGGAGCGTGTCAGAATTGAGTTAAATTAAAAGACACCCAGCTGGTGTTCCAGAGAATCACTTGGTGGAAAAAACCTGCACACATCTGGTGTCAGAGCACCGTGAGTGCGACGGTAGAGGAGAACTGTAGGTTTTCCTTGTACGGACTTCAGACCCAGTCCTCCTCACCTTCCACTCCCAGCTGATTCCCAGCATGAGCCAAAGGGGCAGGTCCCACTGTGTCCGTGCAGTTGCTGAAGGCATGAGCTCGGGGGAGGCAACAGAGGACCTGCCTGCTCAGCCCAGACTGGGGCCGTGGCTCTGAGAAACCACGGAGCCTTGCCCACTTGCCCATGGACCAGTGACCCTGGTGGGGGTGGGCAGTAGGGGACCTTTGAATCCCGCATTTTAAAACAGTCATTCATGCAGTAAGTACGTACCAAGCATGTACACTGTGCCGGGCACTGTGAGTACACCAAAGCTCAGAGCCAGTGGTGGGGAGAGGAGGCCCTACCATTGCCTCCATTTTATAGAAGAGGAAGTTAAGGCCCAGAGAGGTTGTGTAACTTACCCAAGGTCACACAGCTGGCAAATGGTAGGGTCAGGATGTGAAGCCAGGCAGTCTGGATCTAGTGTCTTATTCTCCCTATCATGCTGACATGATCCCATCTAACCCCCACAACAGGTCTGTCCTACTTTTTTTTAATAGAGACTACATCTGTACTATAGAGACTGGGGATCAGCACAGAATGGGAAGCGGGAATGATGAACAACTCGGCACCCTCTTCATTTCTGAGCATGTGACCGTGACTTGAGAATAGACAGGCCTGATTCTCGGAGGAGTTACATGTGTTCTTCCCTTCTGTTCCTTCCCGCAGCCTCTGGGATAGTTCTCACACTTCAGTGTAGAGAAGATCCTTACTAGCAAGGGCTGCAAAATCAGAACTAGCTTCGGTGAACAGCTGAGGGGCTTTCAAGGATAATATCACTACCGGTGATTTTTACATCACTATTGCCCTGAGAACTATTGGCCCCAGTAGGGTTGAGATTAGGGTTTTTGAAGTTTGGCATGGGAAGTCCAGAATCTGTGGTGGCTATTTGAAATACTGGGATGAGACCAGGCCGCTGGAGAGAAGAGAATCAGGCCAGGGAGCCAAAAGTGACGGCTCCAGAGACATTTCCCCATGTCCGTCCTCAGTGGGAAATCAGGGGCTCCGTGCTGTATCAGCAGGAGGAGGAATGGGGCAATGGAGAAGCTTTCCTGGTGTGGGTCAGGGCATTTCCTGCCTCCTGAGTTATATGTGTCCCCCCTGGAGCCTGACTGTCTCAGCTTCTGCCTTCTGCATACATGCGTTTGTGCATGCTCAGTCACTGCAGTCGTGTTCGACTCTTTGCAACCCTGTGGACTATAGCCTGCCAGGCTCCTCTTCTCCCGAGAATACTGGAGTAGGTTGCCATTTCCTCCTCCAGGGGATCTTCCTGACCCAGGGATCAAACCCACGGCTCCTGCATCTCCTGCACTGGCCACTAGTGCCACCTGGGAAGCCCTTCCACCTTCTACATTCCTGTATAAGTTACTCCAAAATTCCCACAGGGCACCCTACATCCTCCCAACCTTCCCACCCATTCAATTCCAGTGCCAGAGTCCTTTGCTCTAAGCCTTGAAGGTGCCACATTTATTCCCACCTCAGGGCCTTTGCACATGCTGTCCTAGCCGCCTGGCATTTTCAGCACTCTGATACACCGCAGCTCCATCTTCCTCTCGGTCTCAGCTCAGAGGTCATCTCCTCCGAGGGACCCTCCCAGCCCACCTCATCTGAAGCAGGGCTCCCTCCCCATCACTCTCCATCACGTTTCCTGATTTTATTTCCTTCCATCAAACCTCACCGTCTTAATTATCTTGTTCAAATATGCCCATTTCTGGACTATCGTCTCATTCCTCCTGTGACCTCCAAACTCACCAGTAGCTTCCCCAGAGCGGGACTTCATGTCTCCTATCCATTTCTCCATTCTCACCTCCCATAACAGCACCAGGTATACCAGAGGTGCTCGCTAAGCATAGGCTGACTCACTCGGTGGATCCTGGTTGCCACGGCACCTGAGTCTTGGATTTTGCGTCTCCAAAATGTTGATAACGACACCTACCCATAGAGCAACCACAAGGATTCTGGAAGATGCTGTAAGCACAAACTAGCACACGGCGAGCTCTTCCCTGATCATAATTACTACTCCAAGTTCATGCCCTCCAGAGGGAAGGCTTGAGGAAAAGATACAACAAGTTCTCTGCCCAGCCCTGGAAGGCTGGCCTTGAAAATGACTCAATGCCACAGGCTGTGCCACTTTCTCGAGATGGCCAGAGAACAACAGCGCCTGGCGGGGAGGCGGGCATAAGCCCCTTTCTGCAGCCAACCAGCCCTGGCCCCCTTGAAGAGGCCCACGCAGGTGTGGTGGTTCACACTAGCTGGCTACCCCGCTGCCTCTCTGCCGCTCCAGCACACTGATATTTGAGCAAAGAACACAAAACACATTAAATAAATGTTATGGTCTTATTGACAGGAAAGGAGAGCTAAGAGTCTCCAGAGGGAAGGCGCTTGGCTCAGAGCCCCAAGCTGTGTCAAGGTCTTAAAACCTCAGAGAGCTGCTTACAGGAAGGACTGTTTTGGTCCCAGGAGCAATGAAAGGGTGCAATGCAAACAGCACCCAGAGTGAGCATTAAAATATCAGGGGGACCATCTCTCAGTCCTTTCTCCATTTTATTCAAGGAACAGTCACGGTCTTGGGGAAGGAAGGTTCTGTAGGGGGCATCTCTTGAGGCCCCCACCCTCTTCTTCAGGTTACAGCATCCCATGGTGCTTTGGGCTACAACCCTGCCCCCACCAGCCACAGCACTGGTGTTTCTGTCAATCAAAGGTCCCTGCCAGCCAACCAGGTGCTCCCTCCCCATACACGAATCTTGAGGGAAAGGATGCAGAGAACGGAAACCGTGGGGACCCCTTTCTTCCTGGAGGCTGCGTCCTGAGTGCCTCAGCTTCAGTTCTGGGCCTGCCCACACACTGCCAGTCAATTCTGACTTTGTGGAAGCTGACCAGGACCAGTTTCCGTTCCTTACAGCCCCAAACCCACACTGCAAAAGGTGCCCCATGCGGCTTGCAGTCCTGGCAGCTGCATGTGGCCGTGCGCCTGGATCCGGGCCACTGAGGAGTTAAATCATCGCGAGTGTGAATCATCTGAGCGTCCTCTCTTCCTCTGTCCACTCTCGGGGCTACATGTAGACTAGGCTTCAACCACGGGGGGCAATACCACAGAGGATGGCAGAGGGAGAACGGAGCTGCCCCCCAAGCCTAGAGGGTCCCCTCTACTCTGCCATGGAGAACTGATGCTTTCGAACTGTGTTGCGGGAGTCTTGAGAGTCCCTTGGACTGCAGGGAGATCAAACCAGTCAACCCTAAGGAAATCAACCCTGAATATACATTGGAGGGACTGATGCTGAAGCTGAAACTCCAATACTCTGACCATCTGATGCAAACAGCTGACTCATTAGAAAAGCCCCTGATGCTGGGAAAGACTGAAGGCAGGAGGAGAAGGGCGCAACAGAGGATGAGATGGTGGATGGCATCGCTGACTCAATGGACATGAATTTGAGCAAACTCCGGGAGATATTGAAGGACAGGGGAAACCTGGCGTGATGCAGCCCATGGAGTCACAAAGATTTGGACACGACTGAGCAACTGAACAATAACAGCGAGGGGATTGAAGGAGATGAAGACCAGGAGTCCCTACAGAACCAAGGCCTTTCTTCCGGCTCTAACCCTGTTCTGGGTTTGGCAAGGAGAATGGCATCTCAGTGGCCGGCTCCCCCAGCCGCCTCCCACCAGGCCTCCACCTCCAGGAGGCCCTGAGAGGCCAAGGCCAGGAGGCTCACCTTTTTCTCATCCCCGCCTTGCAGGAGGTGTAGGGTGCTCCTCCTGTCACCCTCATGCTGCCGCAGGGCGCTGCCGTGGGGCTGGGGCAGGCCTGAGGGCGGCGAGATGCTGCGGCCCTGGGGGTCCACCCAGGTGTAGATGTGGTTGGTGACGTAGCCGCCGGGGATGCGCCCCGCTGAGTACACAGAGAGCACCAGCTTCTTGGAGCCCTTGAGAGCCTAGAGAGAGAGAGAGAGACATGTAAGCAGGAAAGGGGATGGTGAGGGATTATCCAGAACGTGCTTCCTCCTGGGACCCTGCCCACGGAGGAGGCAGCCCGCCCCCATGTCTCTTCCCTTCACCAGCCCTCAGTTTTGTCCCATGGAAACAAGGGCATCTGTCCCACCCCACCCCAGCCCTCACCTTGAAGTGGTCCAAACACAGGAAATAGGACCTCTCAGCATATCTATGCTGAAGAGTTAATAGAGCAGGCCTACAACTGCATCCTTATGAAGACCTGCTGGGCTGACCTCTGGGAACGTGGAATCTGCATGTTCCCACCATTCCTGACTTGATGTGGGAGGCTCACTGTGCCAGGATTATTTGTACAAACAACGTAGCAGTCTGGAATATGGGCACAGGCAGAGAGGCCTACATGACCAGCCCCCTGGTGTGAGTCTCTAAAGTGCGTCCCTGGAAGACATTTCACATGTGGTCACGACTCAGCCCTGGCAGAATCAAGCCCACCCTGTGTGGCCGCACGGGGAGGGGATGCAGGAGTGTGTGCCTGGATCCCTGCGGCCTCAGCCCCGTGTGATGTTCTCCACGCTCGCTGTGCGGGGCACCCTCTTGCTGCAGCAAATCTTAGCCATGAGCACAACCGTATGCTGAGCTCGTGAGCCCTTACGGAAACTGGGGAAGATCTCGACGACCCCAATAGAAGGTTAAGAGATAAAAATACAATAATAATGGCCATCACTTTATGGCAAATAGAAGGGGGAAAAAAATGGAAACAGTGGCAGATTTTATTTTCTTGGGCTTCAAAATCACTGTGGATGGTAACTGCAGCCATGAAATTAAAAGACACTTGCTCTTTGGAAGAAAAGCTATGACAAACCTAGACAGCATATTCAAAAGCAGAGATATCACTTTGCTGACAAAGGTGCATATAGTCAGAGTTACGGTTTTTCCAATAGTCATGTATGGATGAGAGAGTTGGACCATAAAGAAGGCTGAATGCTGAAGAACTGATGCTTTCAAACTGTGCTACTGGAGAAGATTCTTGAGAGTCTTGGCCAGCAAGGAGATCCAAGCAATCAATCCTAAAGGAAATCAACTTTGAAGATCCATTGGAAGGACTGATGCTGAAGCTGAAGCTCCAATGCTCTGGCCACCTGATGTGAAGAGCTGACTCATTAGAAAAGACCCTGATGCTGGGAAAGATTGAGGGCAGGAGGAGAAGGGGACGACAGAGGACGAGATGGTTGGATGGCATCACCGACTCAGTGGACATGAGTTTGAGCAAGCTCCGGGAGACAGTGAATGACGGGGAAGCCTGGCGCGCTGGAGTCCATGGGGTTTCAAGGAGTCGCACATGACTTAGTGATTGAACAACAGCAGTAATGGTAGCTTAACAATGATAAAAAGGCCTGTATGTATGAGACACTCTGCTGCGTACCTGATGTGCTTCATCTCCTGAAATCCTTATGGAATCCAATCTTGCTGAGGAGGGATTCCACGACTTAGCTGAAGAAAATGAGGGGAAATGACCTGCCCACACAGCTAGTAAGGGGTTCCTTTCACATAGCAACTAATGTTGAGTGTAGATACCACCTTGACTTGACACTTCCTAGTCCAGGGATGGAAGGACCACAGGGAGAAGTAAACCCAAACTCGGCCCCCTGGGAGCAGCCATACTGCTTTCCCATGATGCACCTGTACTGACATGAAGCCCTTTATTCTGGGAGATGGTCCATCAGCACTGGGATTAACAAGCAAACACACCCCAGAACCCGGGATTTCATATCAATGATAGTACCTACACATGGGTAAGTTCACGCTGCTGTTAAAATCACACTTACAGTCATTACAAAGCATTTTAATGTGACAGATTTAACAATCATTACAAAGCATTTTAATGTGATAGATTTTAATGTTAAGTGGGGTCAGAGGATATAAATCCTGTCTCACAGTGTGATCTCAGTTATGTTAAGAGAAAAATTACACAGGGGAAGAAAATTGAAACTGAGGAGTAATGTGCCAAGATGCCAGCGTCCTTCTCTCTGGGTAGCAGGATTATGGGTGGTTATTATTTATTCTTCCTGTTTTTCTATATTTTCCAAATGTTCCAGAAGGAAGGTATAGTGCTCTCAATATCAGAAAATAGCAATATGCATAAAACGGAGGGCGGCACTTAACTCTCTGGACCTGCATAGCACTGTGTTCTGCTGACCCCGTCCTCTCCACGGACGAAAGGGGTCAAGGGCGGGGCTTTCAGAGACAGTAGAGAGCCCTGTTGGGCAGAGTTTCCGGACAAGGACACTGGACCACAGGCCTGGACACGCTGACACCTGAACGTCCTCCAGAGGAAGAAGGTCGGGCTGGGAGGGCCCCTCGACCCCACAGTTAAATGCCAGTCCCTGAGCAGAGGGATAACGAGCAGATGGCAGCTCTCCAAAATTCTGCTTGTGAAAAAGATTTCTGAGAAGATGAGCAAAGATTTACAGTGTTCTTTTCCCATTCCCCGGGACTCCCTTGACAGCACAATTGGGAAAATAAAACGTCTGTGAAGTTTAAGATGCAGGATGGAGGAAGCCGGAGGCCAAGCATGCTTCTGCTGCACTTTAGCACACAGCATCGCGGAAGCCACTCTGGCCTCTGAAGGGTCTTCCTGACCCCTCTGCCCCGTCCCTGGCCCCCTCCTCCATGGACGCGCTGCTGCAGTTCTGATGCTGCTTCGATGGGCTTGCCTCTCCTCTGCTTCCTCCCCGGGACAGATGGTGAGTCCGAGCCCTCACTCATTGCACAGGGGCTGACCGAGAGCCTACTGTGTGCGGCCTGGAGAGAGCAGTGTGAGCGTATCTTCAGGGCACCTGCGGCCTGGAGAGAGACAAGGCTTCGCTGGGCCCAGAGTGCGTGCCTGCCCGCGAAGCCGCTTCAGTCATGTCGGATTCTTTGTGACCCTGTGAACTGTAGCCCCCCAGGCTCTCCTGTCCATGGGATTCTCCAGGCAAGAATACTGGAGTGGGTTTCCATGCCCTCCTCCAAGGGATCTTCCTGACCCAGGGATCGAACTCACATCTCCTGCAACTCCCACGTTGCAGGCAGACTCTTTACCCGCTGAGCCACTGAGGAAGGCCAGGCCCAGAGTAGGTCCTCAGAAAAGCCTGCTTGCCCTGACTGGGTGAGAAAGCGGATTTTTGGCCTCCAAAGGAACCATAACATGCACAAGCCTCACCCTGCAGCCACCTTCCTCATTGGATCTGGAAGACTGCGCTGGAATTTGGAACAGGGGAAGGCAAGTGGAAAGAATGGGACCCTGTGGATTTGGGCGGAAGTGGATTTAAGTCACCTCTGTCACCTGTGAGTCCGGGGTCACGGAGGCTGGCTGCTTCTGCTGTCAGAGCAGCACACATGGGGGGGCGAGGCGGTGGGGGGGCGCGGACAATGTCCCCCCCTCAGAATCCTGTGGGGAACATGGAGCACGTAGGGGGTGGGCTTCTGCACACAGTGGGTGGTCAGCACGTGGCAGAGCCCACTCCCCTCTCCTAGTAGTGACTCCGCATTGAGAAGGCAAACCAGGTGTAGAAAAGCATTATCCAAGGAGTTGGGAAAAAAAAAAGAAGAAGGTGTCTGAGAGAATGAAAATCAACGCACAGTACCTGATTTGTATTCTGTATCACTGGCAATAGTGGCATTTTCTTGGTCAGTTCTATAAATAGGCAAGCAGCAACCTTGAGAATGGAGAGGAGGTTAATGCCTTTGATGAGAAGACGAGGGAAGGCTGGCGCCGGAGAGGGCCTGGCAGGTCACCGAGTCTCCCAGGCACTGCCGGTCCCCAGCACACTGCAGAAGGGGACCCTGGCAACCCGAGATGGGAAGGGACGCAGAAGGCGCAGCCCAGACACAAAACCAGCCCCGGGCAAGCGGCTTCCCCTGTGCACCTCGGTCTCCCCATCCCCAGCCTGCAGGACCAGAAAATCTCAAGGCCACTCAAGTCTAGACCATCCCAGAACCTCTGATATTGGCTCTTTAGGGGTAAATGTGGGCTTTCACTGGGTCTTGGAGAGCTTGAATATCATCATCCACTGCTGCCTTATTTTTCTGGCAAAACTCCAGAAAAACAGGATTCCTGAGACAGCACCTTCCACGCCCAAACAGGCTCGGGGAACACGGTCCTGGTGCCGTGGGCCATTAGAACACAGTGAGGGGCCTCCATCCATGGCGCTTTGACTAGGCTGTGTGTGTCATGCAGGGAAGGTGGGGAGGAGGGGAGGGTCTAGGAGTTCAGTTGCTGCTTTTTCCTGGCTGTCTTCTCTCTCTTTTTTTTTTTTAAACAAAAACAACCATTCACTTATTTTTAACAGGTGTCCCTGGCAGGAGGAGAAGGGGACAAGAGAGGATGAGATGGTTGGATGGCATCACTGATTTGATGGACATGAGTCTGAGCAAACTTCGGGAGTTGGCGAAGGACAGGGAAGCCTGGCATGCTGCAGTCCGTGGGGTGGCAAAGAGTTGGACACAACTGAGCAAATGAACTGACTGAATGGAAGGATTAATTCCTAAAGAGAGTTGGCTGGTGCTTTCTCGCCCTGAAAGCCCTTCCATCTGCCTGCCTCACTCACTCAGCACTGCCACCTTGATCCCTGAGGCTCAGGCCATCTGGAGGATGATGTGGTTCTCGTTCCCGGTTAGGTGCCCAGGCCATTCATCTCACAGAACCAGTGGCCTCTCTCTCTGGCATGCCGCAGCAGCAGCAAGCAGCCTTACACACCAAGGCAAACTAGAAAGGACTCTGGTTGTGAAACAGACGCTCAGGCATATCTCCATTGTGTTCTGCTGGGTGGTCGAGGGCTATGCCTTCCTCTTGCTGGCCTCGCTTTTGCCAACTGGCAGTAAGCGGGTTCGCAGGTGGCGCTAGTGGTAAAGAAACCATTGCTAATGCAGGAGTCATAAGAGACGCGGGTTCGATCCCTGGGGTGGGAAGATCCCCTGGAGGAGGGCATGGCCACCCACTCCA